AATGCAAATATGAAGCGACGCTCTAAAGATCAGAAATTTTTACCCAGCTGCTACTTTCTTTTTTCTGTCTTTGCACAAGTGAGTAAAAATAAAAGAAGGAAATAATAGGGTACAGCAAGGAGAATATTATGTCCCTGCTTTAGAATCAAGTAACAAGGGAGCTGCCTGGGGCACAGTTAGGCAAAACTGAGGAGCAATGAAAATCATTCAGCACATGGTTGAAAAGAAGGATTTCTGCTTACGTTCTTTTGTGAGCCTAGTGCTGGTACTAGTTCTTACAGTGCTCATTATCTGCCTAGAAAAGCTTTCAGCAGCAGTTCAAGGACAAACATTTCAAACTGCATTTGCATAACCAAGAGATTCAGATACACATCCATGCAGCTTGTTCTTTTCTGCACTAGATACCAAAAGACTGAGCTTCCTACTGAGGAGTTTCAGTAAATACAGTTACCCCAGAGAGTAAAATGACCAAGACATTGTCACTAGTACACAGTAACAGATGAAGTAATGATGAATGTGAACTGCAGTATAGAAGAAGTGTGATAAACATCAGGAAAAAATGAGGAGGAGCAGATAGGCAGTAGACCAGACTGCTTTATGGCCCTTTCACTGGTGACAGCGCTCAGCTTGAGCGCTGTCCTATGAGGCAGCACGAGCAAGTGGATCTGGGTGTGATGCTGAAGGTGATGGGTGAGCAAATGGAAGTTCTTTCCGGTTTTATAACCCAGCTCTGACGTTTAGAAACTCCTTGTTCACCACCTTTTTTAGACTACTGAATGAATGGTGCCTGCAGATTCTGAGAACTAATAACCCGCAGCTAGACTCATACTGAAATAAACAGCAGCAGTTCTTGTGTTAATAATGATAACTCACCGAAAAAATAAATTGGAGAAAAGGAATAATAATGAGAATTACTTCAAAATGTAAAAATTGAGACCAAAAGCTGCCTTTGTATGTTGCACGTCACCACCACCTTCCTCAGATAGACTCCTGTACCTTCTGCAATCCTTAATATACTCTGCAATCTTCATATACTCCCAAGAAAAATATTTGCAGTGTTAAGAAAAGCTGAGCACTGTCATTGCCATCATTTCAGTTTTAATAACATAGGATGGAGTTGCTTCCTACCAAGATCTTCAGGAATATTTGGGCTACCAGCTTGAACTGATTTTTCCTATCATTTCTTCTTAATCTGGTAGCAGAGTGACTGCTGTCGACCCACAGTCATTCCTTTTAAATTGACTGAGGTTCACAAATAGAGAAAAAAGTATAAACGTAAGGGGCTGACCTTGCTGGTGCTTGAAGAAGGCTGAGTGGTGCATGGCATAGTGCCTGGACAGGACGCAGCCAGGGGTCCTGTGCATCCAGCCCAGTTCCACAGCCAGTCCTGAAGATGATCAGCAAGGCACTTTGAAGTGAAAGCAACACCTTTCTTCTGCTGAGAAGTTGAAAGGAGAGGAAAGGATGTTTGTTGCACTGATGGTTCTCTCAGTGGAGGTGTCAATGAGCAATTCATGTAGGACTTGTCTAGGAAAAGGAAGTCGAAGTCTGTTTCTTCAGTTTAAGAGTATGCGATGGTGATTAACGGCTTTCAAGCTGTTGGAGAACGAGTCCAACAGCTGGGTTGAAAGCACTGGAAATTCACGTTAGGAGGAGTTACACACACGTGAATCAACATCATACCTATGATAGAGAATTAAGCATTCAGGATTTAATTCAGCGACAGCCTTTCAGCAGAAATACCATGATGATATACTATGTATGTGACATAAAGCCAAACTGGCTAATTAGCTAGATTCGCAATACTTGAAAAACACAAAGGTGCATTTAATAATCACCCATTTAAAGCACTGGGTTTTAAACGGCATTAATGAGTTTCCTGAGTTTATGTAAATTCCTCATAGCAGGAGCTGCAAAGAATTTAATTGGAGATGGCAGGGAGAAGAAGCAGTGCTTAGAAGCATTCTGTAGCTTTTTCAAGAAAGCTTGCTTTTGGTGCAGGATTAGTTTTCTCAACATGGTGTGTGGTCCTTAGGTAGAGTGAGAAATGCTGACAGAGGGACGTGGGTATCTGTATAGCTCCCCTACCCCTCTATCTCTGGCTCTCAGGCCTAGCTGCTCAGTATTTTTCCTAAGTACAGGACCTCACAGACCATGTGAGGTTGGAAGGAGCAGAGCAGGCTGCTCTCAACAGCAGGAATTCAGTGCTTTCCAACCTGCACCCACACTGCACAGCAGGGTGAAGTGCAATTCCTTCACTGTTCTGGTTAATTCCTGCTTCCAAGCACATGAATCTGGCTTGGTATTTTGGTAAGAATAATTTCATTCCATTCTTCTCCTGATTTGTTTTCTCAGCTTTAATACTTCAAGGGTTTAAACTGGCCTTTTGAAAGGAACACCTTTGAAGCTAGAAAATAGTTTTGCTGCTGGCTGCCCTCTGGTTTGCCCTTTAGACAGCTCTCTGGCAAGAAGCTTCTGATTATGCAAATCAAAACCTGCTGTTCTCCGGCACACATACCAGCACTATCCACACAGCAAGAGAGGGGAGGGCTGAATAAAAACCTGACTTCCCCCATCCTCACGCCCCTCTACATGGCTTCTGCCAACCTGCCCTGTAAAAAAGACTGCTGCAGGAACAGCTGGGAAGAGCTGCAGGGGAGTGAGGTGCCAGGAGGATGAAACGCTTCTGCAGAGCTCCTCGTATCTGCAGTTCCAGATGAAGATAAACCAATCCAACTCTCTACAAACAGCCCATGTAACAAGATGCATCTGGCTTTACCTCACACTTTCAAATCCACTGCCCTTATTATTTCAAGATAAGTATCAGAAGGCAACCTATTGAGAACTTAAGACTTTCCTTCTCTTTTTAATGCTGTCTGTGGTTAAAATAAAGGTGAGGGACTGCTGTATTTAGCACTGCAGCTATTGTTTAAAAAGAGACTGGAAGTAAAGAACCTCACAGACAAACACTGCTGAATACCCACAGTTCTAAGACATTAACATTTAAGATGGTGGGTATGGGACACTATTGCCCAACAGCTGATGAGATTGAAAGGTGTCATGGTTCTGTGATTTTTGGTTTTCGGTATTCCACATCATAACATCATGTGAGGCACTGGAGTTTAACTGTTAATGCTCGAGTCCTGGGTACCTGTCCAGAAGAGAAGAACTACATTCCCCAGGGGACCTTGTGGTCACGGAGAGGAGGTAGAACTCCTGGCAAGGTCACTGATGCTCTTTTTCGTCCACTCTTCTTCGTCCGCTCTCCTCCTGTCTCCCTGCTGCTTAGCTGGACTGTGCATCTCACCTCAGCACTGTGGTGAGGCCTATCCACCTATCCACTCATCTCACACGTGGGTTATTTCTCAGATCTTCTGTTAAGGATTTCTTGCACCACCCTGAAACTTCTGATACTGATTTCAGTCAAAGATGGGACGGAGGCTGGAAATCCTTCTGTCTCCCACTGGATTCCAGCATAAGAAAACGCTGTTTAGAAGTGAAAGATTAAATGAAAAAAATTCCGAAAACAAGAGCTTGGGGACACAAAGGTTGATGCCTTCCCCCAAGCACCAATCCTACACTCAGAGCAGCTGTAGCTTTCATTGACCTTCCACCCTACCACCTTCCCACCAGGGCTGCACTAAGATCCACAGTATTTCCTTACCTGCAAACCAGAGATGCTCTGTGACAACATCCCACATCTTTGCACCCTCTCCACCCTGAGCACAAACCTCTGCTGAGCTCATACTGTGCAAATGATGGGAGAGATCAGAGCAAATGCATACCAAGATTTGTCTCAGTCATTTGATATGATATTTGTGATCTGGACAGAGACCATCAATCCCAATCCCACAGTACTGCATTCACAGCAACTTCTGTTTCTATGTTTTTTCATTTTAAATGCTAATAAATCATATCTACAGCTTCTTTGCTCCCCCCTGCCCTCCCCCCAACAGCTTATGATTCCCCCTCTATGTCTCTACTTTTAGAATTGCAGAGTTTTTGGGTCTGCCATAACCTACCCCTTGTCAAAATCAGATTTGGGCACATTTGCATTTCACACTGGGGAATTCAAGAGAAACCATATACAAGAACTCCTCAGAGAGGCAGATATTTATGTTTCCTATATGTTAGTTATATTTTGAAATGGTTTTGCTCTTAAATATTCTCCCCAGTCATTACACTTTATTTCAGGTCAAATCCAAACTTTTTTTTTTTTTTTTTTTTTTTTTAAGCTCTACAATTTGTCAGTGAACACAAACAGTTCTCAATTCAATCGACCAAAAATGGTTGACACACAAAACCGAAGCAGCCACAGCCCATATTTGCACAGCTGCATGCACCAGGCTCTCCTCCACCCCTCACAGATACTCGTGCTGCAGGACATGAACAAGGCTGCAGCAAGGAGTGGGGAAGGCCACAAGTCTCTCCTGGCTTCACAAGCCATGGAAGTCCTGCCCACATTTGCAGAGGAAGTCATGCTAAAATCTTCAAGCCATGACAGTATTTGTGTTGCTGGTTTTACAGCTTTACACACAGCATTGTCACAGCCTAAAGGAGAACCTGAATGCAGTACCATCACTTCAGATTCAGAGCTTGGTCTCTGCCATGGCATTATAGTAAGGCTTATTAAATCAAATTTACCCAGTCAGATAGGTGCTGAATTTAAGGAATGAAGAGGCCATCATTTAACCAGGATGTGTACATTTATAAATCCCAGTTTTTCATGGCAGGTGGGTTACCTCTAAGCAACTTCAACAAATGCAGTTTGAACTTGGATATACTAGAACACCGTACAGTCACAAGGAATTCTCCAGTATGGAATAATTATATCTTACATCAAGTCTTCTGAATTCATTGACAGCATGCAGAGCTAAAAGAAGTCAGTCTGTCACATGCTGCTGGATTTGGACTGAGAATTTCAGTTCTGGAAAGTGACAGTAATGCGTTCTGGGGAAGGCTGGCTACTCACATGGGCGCCAGCACTGACACCCTGGCACTGAGGACCAGACAGCTACTTTGCTTCTCACTGATTTCCATGAATTGAGTATTAAACTGAGTCATATTAAGGAAATCCCAGCTAAGATTCTTTGCCCTCTTCCAAGAAATGGAAGATTGTCATCTCCAATAATTACACGTTCCAGTTTAAAGAGAAAAAAAATCTGATTTCATTTTCTGAGTCACATTGTTTACTGGCTGTTGAGGCGCAAAGAGCACAGATGTTTAGTGAGGAAGCACAGCACCTTCTCCATGCTATGAACTAGAGATGCAGACAGCCAAGGTGTTAACCTCAGTCCAACTGGGGAGAGTCATCAGAAGAAGCTCCTTTATGACATGACTTCTGCTTCGAGGATGCTATGACACATGGGATCTGCTCCCTCCGTGTCTGCATAGGAGGAGAAAACATAACTCAGCCAGGAAATGCAGGCAGACAGAGAAGGAGGAAACAGCGATTTTTCCCCTCAATCAACTGAGTCTCCCAGTTCCTAAGAAGTTTACCCAACTCTTTGAAAGTCTCAGGCAGCATAGCTTCATCAGCCTGCACTGACATAAGTCTCAGAACATTGTCCAGACTGCGGATGCCTCTGAAGCACCTCAGCATTCACAACTCATGCAGCTTTCAGAAGTTCACATTGGAACTTCTCGTGTGCCAAAATACTTCAGTGGATGAGGTTTCACGTGCACATTCTCTCTCTCTCCACCTTCCCCTTACGTATGGAAAAAGAGGCCCTCCAAGTTGTTATTTGTCAGAAAAGCTGTTGGCCCTGGATGAGAACCCAGCTCCCCCTGCAATCTAACATAGGGGAGTGTAACAGGATAGGAGAGTGCCATAAGGAACGGGAGCATTTCTCATTTCAATGCTGCTGGGAAAGAACACGGTGGGAGGAAAGGTGGCTCCTGGAGCATTCTCAGGGCACAGACCTCAAGGGAAATGGCTGCAAAAGGTTAGAAATGAGCTGCCAGGAGATGGGGAGATGCTGCTGCCCCACACATAGGGCAACCCTGAGCAATACATCCAGTGAGCCTTGCTTCAATCCCAAGTCTGGGTATTACAGAGCAACAGTCACCATACAGTTTACTTCTGTACAGGATTTTGTGTTTTCGGTAGAACAGATCCTTGTTGGAGAAAACTACACAGTTCAAACTTCTTAGGGAGTAAATTAACATCTCCCATCTCCCTCCCTTTCCTTTAAGACATCAGCACAGAGTCTTTACTAGCAAGTATCTTCTTGGTGTTCTCCAAATAAACCTGAAATCCAGAGAAGCTCTTCAGAGTTCTTCTCCTCTGTAAAGTTCCCCCCTACAGATAAAGCAAACCAGGAAAAAGAAATTCAAGTGTTTGATTTTCTGTCCAGTCACTTTTTTGGTGAAAGAGAGCAAAGAAACTCTTTCGTGCTTCTTGCTATGAATTTTCAGCTCTGTTTGCTTTGACTTGTAGCAAAGCCAAGGAATTAAAAAAGTCTGAAAATTTCCACTAATGAATTCCAGACTTCTGGACGGCAAAACCATCTGCTTGCTCCCAAGCCATGTTGTCAACAACTGAGCACAGCTGTATGAAGGGCAATAAAATATTATACAGTTGCTTGTGTTTCTACACCCCTACATTTGCAAGTTTATTGAAGTACTGTTAGTTTCAATGCTAGGTTTCACAGCAACCTTCCTTTCTGCAAAAGCTTTGCAACATTGCCCTGACTGCACTGGGCAGACAGGTAACATACATGGCCCATCTTCACGGTAGTTTTTGCTTTTCAAAGCCTTACAACATGTGGCAAAGCGTACTACCAGGGCTGTAATTGTCTGGCCTAGGAAGGAGGAGTTAAGATGCTGCTCATCAGTGACGCTGAACAGCTCAGGGTCTCCCCTTGCACCTGGGCAGCCCAGTGGCTCTCAGAAAGATGGCACATATAAGCAGAAATATACTCCATGAGCTCATGGCATCTCTCAAACCAAATCATTGCATTAACACCACAGACAGCTGGGCAAATACTTTTATCCACTATTGGTTTGCTCACTTGAAAATGATGTGGATGCCATGCAGCAGCCTCTACAAGAGCAGAAGCCAGTGCTTCCCATTACACACATTCAAGGCAAAGAACACAAAGCACAATCAGTACATTATTTCCCTGTTTGAAAAATATTATACAATTCACAGGGGCTTTAAAGAGGATCAGGGATCCTCCCTGCCATACCTGCACACACCAGCTCCAGGTTGCTGTTTCAAGGGAAGGGCATCATTGCTGAGACCCAACAGCTATGGCACCAGCCTGAGTTCCCCTGCATTTACCTTTGCTGTTCAAGTGAACCTTTGTCCCTTTGGGCACACACAGCTGAAGGACTTGCTCCTCACATTCAGCTCACCTTCATCATCCACCTAACAGCCTATAGTCCTGGAAAACTCCATCCTGAGGCACATGATGCATTGCTTAAGTTAATTCTTGCATCTTGGAGAAGTCTATCCTTAAGTCCAACTTCCAAGATGCACTTATAAAATAAATACAAGCTAAAAAAAAAACCAAAAAAATCATTGAAGTGAACATAGAAGTTTCAGTGCACTATAATGGAGCCACTGCAGAAGACCTATTCTCTCCTCTTAAGTTTCCTCAAACTCTTTCTACTAGCTTTTCTTTTTATAAGGCACAGGGGAAGGGAGGACTTGAGATGAATGCTTGGAAGTTAGAAACACTCACCTAACACAGAGCTGGTCAGATGGTTCCAGTAAGAAATGCTCAGCAGGTTACACTTCAGTTGTTACAGCCCACCTCGAAGCATCTTTTCCAGGTAGGCTGGAAAAAAACACAACTCAGAACAGAGAAAGCCTTTTCTCCTAATGGCAGAGCCCTGAGGAGTTTCCATAAACACTAATAAATACCACTTCACTTGCTTTACAGACTAACAAGATCCAAGACAATCCTATTCTCCCTCTCACTCCTCTGTTAACAGCACAAAGCACTGCTTACTCCTTGCCTTAAGCCTGCTAGATCCCTATTTGGTTGCTGACAGGGAACCACACTGAGCTTCCACCTAATCCCTTAAAGTTACAGAAATATAGGCACAAAGATAACCCCACCTCTGCAGACAAAACCATCCAGGTACAGCTTAGAGAGCATAAATGCTGCAGCTCTTAAATATAGCTAAGGTTCACCCACTAGTAAGAGCTCAGCCACACAGCAAAGCAATTTGCCTCATCCACACCGACTGAGAGCAGCTGTGTTAATTTACAGATGTAGAATGTAAGCTTCTCAAGGAAAAAAGCAGCAACATCCAGCTGCTTTGTGAACCTCAATTCCGTTTTCCATACAGATGGCTTAAGTAGTTAGGAAGAGAGCCGAGCTTTCAGAAGCAACATTTCTGAATGTTGTATCCATCGGGCTCTGCTGAAAGCTGTGCTTTCCTGTAAGCAGCTCAAAACTGAGCATCTTTCATGGAAGCTCAGCACAAGCAGTAAGGTGTGCTGCACACTGCTGCAGGAACATCTTGTCCCACAGCTATCCTGCATTCATCCCCTGAGGAAAAACAGCCAAGAGCAAAGCTGGAAACTGGTTCTTCCATTCCTGTTTGCACCGGTGTTTTCTTGGGTTTTACTACTTCATAACAGCACCTGGAGAGGCAGAACCTTCCTTTACCTGAGCCTGACTGCAGGGAGACCCTTCCCTCTGATGGTTCATGAGCATGTGTGTCTGTTCACACATCTGCCCATTTTCCTTCCATTTACCTGCCAGGAAGATTTCTAAGAAAGCAGAAGTTGCTGGAGGTTTCAGAGCACACAGTTGTGATGCTGAAGGCAATATGCACAATTTGCAGTTTGGGCCTGTGAGCTCAGATCTGTGTACGTGGTGTTTAATGTGCAGCAATGTATGTAGGAGGGATTATTCATAGCACCTACAACTCAACATCTTCATTTAGTTTTAACGAGGCAAAGAATCTGCAGAGGAGGTTGGGGGTTGGAGATTCATGATCCTTGAGGTCCCTTCCAACCCTGGCCATTCTATATTCTGTAAACAGTACTCTTATTCCTGCTCATGGGGTGAAGGATTTGCCAAAAGCCTCAACAAAAGCAGCACCTGCTTTGTGATGCTAAGCATGGAAGTACCTCTGAGGCATCCTGCGGTATTGCTGTCCCAGGCACAAGCTCCCCTCAGCCTACAGCTGAACACAGAAGGCAATGAAATACACTGCTTTGCCATGCAAGAGGTCTCCCAGATGAATCGGAAAGGCAGCCCTTGCCCTTTCAGAATTTGGCACCTGAAGATTCCAACTCTTCACACCTTGCCATACTTACTCCAACGTTACATTGCTCAGCACTGGAGAAATCATACCCAAGAGGACACTGAGCACTTTTATTTCAGCCAACAAAATTAAAGGCAAAAAGTCCAATACCCCCCCCTCTTCATTTTTTTTTTTTAATTCTCCTGTGCTGTGCATTATGGAATGGTTCAAAGTTGTAAAAGCTTCCCTTCTCTTGGCAAAAGAAAGAGCTAAAAATTTATTTCCTAAGAAACCCACATCCACTTCTCTTTCCTCTTTTATTAAAATCTAATAACTTCTAATAAATAGTTCTTGTTTCTGCCTTCAGTGACAGCTTAGAGGAGGTTTTGGTAATGACTGCCTTTCAGCTGAGCTGAGCTCAATTAACTGGGCAGAAAATTAGAAGCCATGTCTGCAAAATTAACAGGAAATACATCGCATCGCTTTCTGGCATGCAAAAATACAATTCTTTTCTACCAAATTTGGCTTAGATTTAGCAAAACATGTTCCGCAGATGGAGTTTCTTTCAAAAACAAATTAGCCATCCTGAGATAACCAAGCTCTAATGCTGTGAGGACAAAAAGATAAAAAACAAACAATCCAGCGATATTAATTATATTTTTTCCTCTTCTGTCAATGTATTCCTTGCCAGCTGGTTGTGTTGTATGTGGGCATAATTGTTAGAGTAATAACTGTTAGCCTAGTAATATCCTAAGGTAAAATATCCTAAGGTAAATAAGCCCATGAGGTGTTGAAAATGTCCATTTCCACCATTTACTGTACCACATCTGGGGCCGAAGCATCCTGTGCAGCGCCTTTGGAATAAATACTGAAGTGTTACTGTGCAGAAATGGTGAATTATTCTTTTTTCCTACTGTGAATCTTCTGAAGATGATGCATGGTGTGCACTGCTTTGAGGTGCAGGCAAACATCTCTGTGAGTCAGTGCTCAGCCACTCCAGGGCTCAGCCAATGAACTGCCCTGTGCAAGCTAACAGCAAGCGAGGGAGCTCATCTCCTGTTCGATAAGGTTTTGCTGCGTTCATCCAGCTCTTGCCTTGCGTGCATGGGAACAGTTAGGTTCCTCTGAGCTTCCCTTGTTTTGATACAGGAAAAGAATGAAGCTGCTCTTTTGATCATGCACTACTCATGATGAATTGAAACCCACAGAGCACTTTGCCAGATCTTTTGTGGTAAAGCAGCATCCTCTCTTGTTTGCAACGAGCCTTTCTACTTCCTTCCACAAAATGAGACATCAGAGGAACACCACTGGCAGAGGAAGCTGACAAAAAGAAGGTATCCTGAGTGAAAATTATTGCCCTCCTAAGGCTGTATTTAGATATCTCAAAGGTTTCCGGAAAAATAGCTCAGCACATGCATTATATTCCCCAGCACCCCAGCTGTTAGCAGCTGGATGCAGTGTTTCAGCAGCCACTCTTGAAGGAAATGTAACAGCAGTTTTCAACAATAGACAGTAAGTATCCATGGATGTAACCAGGAGCCCAATTTTGCAACGTGCCCCCCCAGACTTCCCTTTGAAGCGCAATCCCACAGAAGTTGCTAGCCAAGATGCTGCAGCGTGCGATCTGTAGGCTGTAGGAACGGGCTCTGAGAGGCAGATTTGCTGACCTTCACAAAGTGCTACGAATGCAGAACATGGCTCTTAAGGGACACGAAACACCCTGAGGTGAACACACAAACCAAGCTTGTAGCATTTTCCTTTCTAAAGCACCACTTAGACCAGGGGAAGGTGGTTCAGGGATTGAACGTGAGCAAAGCTTTAGCAGATCCTACTTCAGTCTTGTGTTCCAATGCTACTTTTTCTTAATGTGAATTTAAGTCCGGACCATTAAAAATACCCATGTACCACTTTGCTCAGTATTGCAATTCCTTGTGCCCAGACAATCTGGGAATGTAAGCCTTGAGCCTCCAGAAGCAGTTCAGCTGCACTTGAGCCCTCAGTAGGCATGTTTTCAGACTACCATGGGAGAATAGTGCTTAAGGATAGAAGAGTGTCCATGGGAAACTGGGAAATAAACTCCACTGAATCACCAACCTGCCCAGGAGTGACCCGGTGTGAAAGAGGTTTGCATGATAAAACAGCAGCCCCACATGCCTGTCTGCCTGCAGAAGGCAGAGGCAGCTTCTGTCCCATCCCACCCAGTATCACCCCATCCCATTCCAACTGAAACCACCACCTGCCCATGCCTTCCTGCAGTGCCCCTGCATGCCTCCAGCCCTTCCCTGGGTGGATCCTGTCTGAGATCCCTTCTCTGTGTAGAACAGATCCCTTTTTCTGGTCTCCACCAGTGACTATTTCCCCGACACATTTTACATGAGCCACATGAGTTCAGACAATGAAGATCTGCATGTAATGTGGTAGGATTTACTCCACCATAAGCTACTACAGCTCTAAAGCAAGGCTGAATTAATCTGTCTCTCACAAAACATCATATTTTGAAGTCTTTTTGAAATCTTTCACAGAAACATAGTCTGGAAAACACTGTGCATGACTATGCCAGTAATGTCCCTAAATGTTCTCTCCAGTGAAAGGACTGATTAAAAAAAAAAACGCAATTCCTTCCTAACTACTCATTCTGCCTCTCCCCTCGTGCGTAGAAACACAGTCAAGTGATGGGATCATGTGCGTCTCAGTGACAAATACAGTTGAGCTAACGCAGGAAGATGTTGTGTTCAAAATGGAAATGACCAACTGAAGCTGCAGTGTCAGATATTGCATGATTGGGAATTAATCTCATAGTTTTCTACAACAAATAGAAGCTCCAGAGCTTAGCAAGAGATATCAAAAGAACTACACACATGAAGTCCAAACCAGCTAGTCAGTTTACATCAGAGTTGACATGATGGCACTGATGGATATGTTCTTCCAGTTGGAAAGATTTGTACGGAACTATCAAAGTCCTATGAAATAATGACAAAAATAGGCAGACTTGAGTGAATATACTTGAAAATTACTTTCGGGGGGATTGCCTGTAGATCCTCAGGGGAGAATCCATCTGATGACACGGAGAGGATGAGCTGCCTGGTTGCATGGTCACAATTTGCAGAGGTCATCACTTGACTCGAATGTTATGTTTTGTTCTCGGTGTTTCCAGTGAAGACAGTCAAAAGCAAACGAAAGTTCGTATCTCCTCAGTAGAGAATGATGAAAAGTTTTTGGATTCTGCAGCAGAAATGGATTCTAGAAATGGATCCTAGAGAGGTGATTTCAAGGGCCACCATTTTCCGCTGCTCAGCTTGAATCACTGTCCAGAAGAAAACACCTCTGTAACGTCGGTCTGTTTTTATAACTCTACAGTCATCACTCCCTTTGCAGAAAAAGGTCGTCAAGATAACAAAGAGAACAAACCCTTTGAACAAGGTAGCATAAAGAGCACTGGGAAAGCTTTTCATACAGCCAGCAGGTTTGTGGCAAGGAGAGGCCCCTTTTCAGACCCCAAGAGCAGCAGACACAGCGTCATCTTCAGTGCCCTCCACACACAGAGCCAGACTGTGAGGCAGGGAGAGCTGCGTTGGGACAGGTCAGCGGCCTTCATTTGCAATGCAAAACCAGCCAGAATTGTTTCTTCAATCTGATACTGCAGATTACACAGCAGTTTTGACCCTCATAAAAAGCACTTTCTTCTTGATCTTTCAGCTGAGCTGTCTTAAACAGGAAAGCAGGGCACACTGATGGAAACAGGATGCACGATAGTAAGTTCTGCTTTCTGTACAAATCCAGACTCGCACATTAGTTAAACCATATTTGCTGCAGGGGAAGAATTGTTGACTTTTTTTTTCTTCTATCCCATCTGTTTTACCTTTTCTCCAGAGTATCCATTC